TCTGTGTATGGAGGAGTAGGAATGATCCTCACTGTAAAGATTTGTTCCCTCTTTTGAGCTACTGCATCCATAGGTGTAGGTCAAGTTCATCAAATTGTATCAGATCCAATAGGCTTTTTTGAAACCCAATATTTTGCTTTAAAAATTCAGGCAAAATTTGAATTCAACGTTATTATCAGATCATATAAAAATATCATTTGAAATTGACATTGATTAAAGTGATGCCTTAAGATAAAAAACTAGTGACCCCTAAGGGGACCAAAATAGGTCTCTAGGGGGTACAAGCCCTGACCCAAGGGCAGAGGGTTTTGATTTCTTATTTGTTTTTGTTTTGCTTAGGAGGATGAGCTGAGTACAATAGGCTTTCCTAGGTTATGCAAAGGTGTGATGTGCTCAAGGTTAACTGAAAGATTGGTGATTCAAGTACAGTCCAAAGTGGCTTGCAAAGAAGACCTAGAGATCTATTTCTGGAAAATCAGCCATGGAAAGCCCTACAGAGCACAGCTCTGCTCCAACACACACGGGGTGATCACAAGGCAGAGTCAACTCAACAACAAATGGTGACTTTGGGGTTTAATTACTGTCTTGCGAAAAGATGCTTTCTCACCAGATTCTTGTAAGACTGTGCGACCATAGGTGATGGTGGAGGCTGTGTGCCATGGAGTCAGTTTCAACTCACAGCAACCCTGTATAGTGTTTCCAAGTCTATAAATCTTTACTGGAACAGAAAGCCTATCTTTCTCTTAAGGAGCAACTGGTAGATTCAAACTGCTGACCTTGCAGTTTTAGCTGCTCAACTTGTAACCTACTACTATACCAGGAATGACAATAGTTAGAAAGATGTTATGACATCTACTATTGACATACATATGCAGAGAGGGCACGTATATGTTTAATAGTGTAAATACCCTGACTTCCCATAAACCCTAAATTAAGCAATACCTTAATCTATTCATAATTTCATAACCTCTTATGTTCTTAATTTCATAACCTCTAAAACTGAGATTAGTGTAAGAAAAGCCAATGGTTTTATTCATTATCTTCAATTCTTTTTTGAGGAGCAAAACTTTTGTTAGTTAAAAGTCTCTATTTCGACTGTCAGGGCTTTTATTTTGTCTTGGTGGACAGTTGCTAAGCCAGTAGAGCAACAGAACCCTAGTGACATTGCTGTGACCTCATGTCAGTAGGTCTTGTACCCAGAATAACTTTTCTATTGGTAGTGTAAGACAATCTCACTTGTATGGCACAATTGCATGCTACAATGCTGACACGGTTGCAGGGTTGTTTCTGTGCCACAAGTTCCATGGAATTTTTGCCCATATGACATCCACTTCTCCTTCTCATTTTCTTCTGGTCAGGTTTTCACATGGTAACTGGCATCTGTTGGCATTCAATGTGCCTAGTGAGATTGGTAAAACTAGTGAGATCCAAATAAATAATCCCAAGAAGGAAGAAGTAAAGACACTTTAGATTTGATTTTGGAAATCTGTTCCAAGACTGACACATTTGCCTATTCTATGATTTTCACTATGAATACTGCAGACAGCTCATGATCCTAGACAACTTCTCACATCTGTTGAATGCAATATTCTGCATATTGTCCAATCAATACCAAGAGCACAACTATTTCTCTTCTTGTTCTAAACAAAGTATTGCATGATTGATTCTTTCTGAGTTAGCAGTTGGGTCTTGTTCTGGACAGTTCTATTTTAGATAAAAAAGTAGAATTTGTTCCCATGATCATAATTTTAGATTTACTGCTATTACATTTTCATTTTTCTTTTTTAAAATTTAGGTCATAATTGCATGTGTCAAGAGATTGGAATTCTGATTTGGAAACTGTATACATTAGCAGTGCTTCTGATATGTGTAAGCCCTGTCCATGAAGCATGATATGTCTTCACTCAGATTTCTAAGGAACATACTGACTAGGCTGATATAGTCCCTAGGACAGTTTGTAGCTATTGACTGTAGGGTAATCCTTTTAGGTATATAGGGCTAATTCTCTCACAATTTGGGAATATTGCTGCTCAATTAATTTCAGAAGGCATCAAAATATACTATTATTCAGCCCAAACATATAAATATTGTGAAAGTATTTTACAAACGGCTCACTATAGTGAAGATGCAGAGTGTCTGTGATAGCCCTCTGAGGTTATGACCAGATCATTCTATCACTACAGGAAATGAAATGACTATAGCATGATTATTGTTAGTGAATGCAAGCTAACTGATATTAACCACACATTTCTAAGATTTCATACACCATCTGTTTAATAATTTACACAAGAGTTTGGATAGGGGTTGATATCTAAGTCTCCAATTTATCATGTCTATAATTATCCTTTTTCCCATTGAGAGATGATTTTTGCTAGCTGCCATAATGTTGGCCCACAAACTCATGCTGATTCCATGCAAAATGGAACAAAACACAACCCAATTTGCGGGACTAACTGCAGAAGGGACTGTTATAATCCATTAAGTTTTAAATGGCTGATTTTCAGAAGTAGCTCTCTAGTTCTTTCTAATCCATCTAAGTTTTGAAGTTCCACTGAAACTTGTTCAGTC